CCCTTCTCCACAGGGCAGAAGCCCCTAACTCCATCACCCTGTCATAGGGCTGAAGCCCCAGTCCAATAGGTACAACTTGGCTTTAGAACTTCTGAAGAATGTTTATGCGGCTTAGAGACTCAATAAGTTTAGCCACTGCTGATAGCAGTTAATATTCTTACTTTGTTAAGCAGTTATTTTTCATTCCAGGAGTGGATGCATTTTATCACTGAAGTTGTAATCTCCATTATATGACTGTATTTCACTTTATAAAGCTCTTTGGGGTGAAAGACTATATGGAGATGAGAGATCTTTTTCATTACTCTCACAAAAAATAAGCCCTTTTTGACCCTAAGCTCTCAAAAGAGCAAGAATGGTCAAGGTCTTCATTTCACGGACTCTGCAGAAGCTCCAACAGTAGCAAGAAGATGTTAGAAGAGAGACAAGAAAGCATTAATATACAAACAGAAAATGGAAAGCACGAAAGGTGTGGGGGAGGTCTTCCCATATCATATCCAGATGTTCAAGGCCCTTCTCTCAAATATGGTGCTCACTGTAATCCAACTCTTCTGCAGAAGGACTTTTCCTCCTCTTGTAGAGGAAGTTGATGAGGTCAGTCTTTACTTCTAGCAAATCACAGTGTTAAATGTGTCTAACAGCAGGGAAGGGCTCAGTCAGAATGGAAGTGGGGACACAGGCTGGCATTAGAACGTGTTTTTGGGATGAACCAGAGCTCTTCACTCTGTCACAGGGGTATTTCTGGTAATTTAAAAAAGGTGAATCTCCCCATCCTCACCATGTCCAGCAGAATATCCACTTTCAGACGCAGGAGATTGTTCTCTTCCTCCAGTTGCTGGTTGCGCTTGCGCAGGCGCTGCGTCTCCCTGCGATCCCCACTGCTGCTCCCTGACTCTAACAAAGACAGGCCAAAGTTATAATCATCAGGTAACTTTCCCAGACTAAGACTATGGCTACACTGCCGGTTTTTTGTGGAAGAGGATATGCAAATTATGCTCTCATTTGCATATCTTCTTCCGATTCTTTTTGCGGAAGAGGTTTTACCACTAAAAAGCCCCATGTAGACGGGGCCATTTGTCGGAAAAAAACCCTTTTTCGCAAGATCCTGTAAACCTTGATTTTTGAAGAATAAGGGATCTTGCAAAAAAGATTTTTTTTCCGACAAATGGCCCCGTCTACATGGGGCTTTTTAGTGGTAAAACCTCTTCCGCAAAAAGAATCGGAAGAAGATATGCAAATGAGAGCGCAAAAAAACGGCAGTGTAGCTGTAGCCCAAGGTAGGAGAAGTAGCACCTTACCTGCTATCCACTGGCCATTCTCAAACTTCAGACTTTGTCCAGCGAGGTTCATGTTGGGAGTGCCATAATCCAGACCAAGCTCAATTTCACGGGTCGATCTGTCCAGCTGGAGAAAAAATCCTCAATTTTTCTACTTTTCATTTTCTCTCTCCATACTTCCTTTCACACCTTCACTTTTCTTCATGTGACTGGCATTTTTGTGAAAGGTGCTATACCACTGGCCCTAGAATCTGATGTCTTACTATTAACATTGCATATACTGGCGGGCTGTGTCTACATTGGCACCCCTTTCCGGAAAAGGGATGCTAATGTAGACTTTGGAATAGGCAAATCCACGGGGGATTTAAATATCCCCCACGGTATTTGCATTAACATGGCTGCCGCTTTTTTCCGGCTTGGGGAAAAGCCGGAGAAAAGCACCAGTCTAGATGTTATTCTCCGGAAAATAAAGCCTTTTCCGGAGGATTTCTTATTCCTACTTGAAATCCTACTTGTATCTTTGGTGCTAGTTATAAGGAAAGCCTCTGTCCCGCTGGGATCTGCATTAGATGTTTCAGATACAGTGAATTTGGCTTCTGAATGAAGGAGGAGTGAAGTATGCCACTAACAAATCATTCTACTTCTGGTCTCACTATCCAACCATCAGTAAGCAGTCATGACTCAGGACCAGAAGAGGAAGGAGAAACAGTTGAGACTATGAGGCTATGTCTACACTCGCGGCTTCTTGAGCAAGTATGGCCGTTCTTGCGCAAAAACCTGCAAAGCTTCCACACTGCCCGCCTGCTCTTGTGCAAGGAAATTTACAGTACAGCCTGGTAAGAGAGGGCTTCTTGCGCAAGAGCTACACTCTTTTTTAACAGGTGTAAGCCCTCTTGTGCAGGAGCTCCTGCGCAAGAGGGCAGTGTGGATGCTGGGCAGGGATTTCTTGCACAAGAAAGCCTTATGGCTAAAATGGCCATCAGAGCTTTCTTGCCCAAGAGAGCATCCATACTGCCATGGATGTTCTTGCGCAAGAAGCTGCCAGTGTAGACATAGCTGAGAGAGGAAGGATGAAGTGTCTAATACTTTGTTATGATAATTATTACAATAAAATGTCTAAGGCAGATTGCCTGTCCTTTGTTATAAAGGGCTGATAGAAGATCCCTATAGCCCAACACTTACCGAGTGCAGGTTGGAGAGAGAGGCTGATTTCCTAGGTGGTGTTTTCTTGGGACTGAATGTGTTCCCAAAGAGAGGCATGGCTTTCCAATCTCCAAGCCTGCTCACCTCTGCTGCCTTGCCCTGTTTTCTGTATGCAATAAAGAAACATAGAAAGAAAAGCTCAGACATTTCAAAATTTATTTATCACACCTTACACTACAGCAGAGCTACTCAACTTTGGAAGCCCCAGGGGTCACAATGATACTCCTTGCACATGATGAAGGCTGCAACTTACGTGTGGTTGCGTATACATGCAAATATATGCAAATAGCTTCTTTCACACTGACGAGCATGAATACAAAGATTAAGGCAAGACTATACAACACGCAGGCCCCATTTAAGTCAGTTCTGCTGATATTAATAAAATGCAATATTTACCTGATTTCCACCCATATGACAACACTTTTAATGAGCAATGACAATCCAGGAATTTAACTACGAAAACGCATATCAACAGAAGACCGTTATATTGACGCGCCATTGCGGAGTGTGTTCCCAGTGGAAGCCATGTTCCAAGGATCCCACCTGCGGGCCGCATGTTGAGCCCCGTGTAAACCCAAACTGCTCCGTGGGCTGCAAACAAACTGGCCATGGGCTGTGTGCTTAGTAGCCCTGCACTACAAGATGACTCTCTATAGCAGTGGTCCCCAACCTTTAGAGGCTCCCGGGCGCCCGGGGGCGGGGCCATTCATGCGC